GTCCCGCCGGGCTGGGGCTTGTATCTTACCCCCTTCACAAGGCGCTGGGTTCTTGCAGGTGTGGATGTGGTCTGGGTGTTGTCCTGTGTCCTGTGGTCTCTATTTTAGGAAGATTTTTCTTTGTTATATTTTCATAGCTCTATGTGTTTTTGGGAGGAGATTTCCACTGCTCTTCTCACGCCGCCATCTTGGCTCCGCCCCTCTGATTTCTTTTTTTCTAATTACATAGCTTGGAATCAAATGAAAAATTTTTCATTGAGATGAGAATGTTAATGAGAATTCAAACCTTGCTATGATTATATTAAATAGGAATGTTTCTTTCTATGATATTATACATTATCAAGAACTGCTTTCTCTGTGTATTTTAGGTTTTGACTACAATTCGTTCAGGACACCGAGCAAATATATTTAGTGCAAAGTTCTTACCATGCACAAATGATAAGCAGATTGTATCCTGTTCTGGAGATGGAGTCATATTTTATACCAATGTTGAGCAAGATGCAGAAACTAACAGACAATGCCAATTTACGTGCCATTATGGAACTACCTATGAGGTATTGTATTACTATGATCAGATATATATGATACATATGTGTGTATATTTTCCTGTGTGTGTGTGGATGTATGTATATTTACATAGATTTATGTATGTGTGTATGTACACAGAGTATCTAAATTTCAGTAAAGTATTTGAGAAAATGTGTCTTGATAAGCTTGTGAATAAAGTTAAGAAATAAGTTACAGTAGTAATAAGGTTTGTAATTGCTGGTGCAGCCATACACTGGGCAAACAGGTGCCAGCCTTTACAGATGCTCTGTTATTTGTATAGGGCTCTATCCTAGACTTTAATCTCTTAAACACTTCATCCCTGTTTTACATAAAGTCATGCCTGGCATGTTATCAAGTGTTCACATTTCGGAAGGAGCACAAGTCCACTAGACAAGAGTCAGACTCCTGCATGATATTCATAAGTTCAAGTCCTGAGCTGAATTAAATGAGGTGAAATAAATTTAAGACTCAGTTGTATTCCTTACTGGGTTCAGAAAAATTGCTTGCTCTCAGAATGTTCTTTTAAAATCTTTTCATGTCATTTCTTTGTATCCAATCACTCTTGGTTTCCCATTATTTGTGTTAACTTGACATATCTTTTTTCCATCATTTGAATTTCAGTTCTCTGGATCCTCATGTTTTGTGTTTACTTATAAAAATAGAATTATATAGCTGGATTTCATTTTCTCACAATTTGGCTTTTAACTGGAGATTTCAGTCATTCTATATTATTGTGAGTACTGATACATTTAGACTTATTTATATATATTATTATATGTTTTCTATTTTGTTGAAACAAATTTATTCTATTAAGTCTCCCTTCTCTTTTGCCGTCTTTTGAATTGCTAGAGGGTTTTGCTTTATTCACTTTGTTTCTGCTCCTTGCACAGAAGATAGACATTCATTGTTTACAAGAAGAATTAATAATGTCTAAAGTCAGTAAATACTTTTTGCCCTTCTCCTGAATAGGGCATCTCAGAACATTATAATTTCTTCATCCCTTATGTAATTTTAAATGTTTATGGTGTTTTTTGGGTGTTGAGATATGTGAGCTTTTGGATTTTGGATGCTAACCTCTTATCAGATAAGTTGTTTACAAATATATTCTCCCATACTGCAGGATGCCTTTTTGTTCTGCTGATGGTGTCCTTTGCTGTACAGAAGGTTTTTTGTTTGATGTAGTCCCATTTGTTCATTTTTACTTTTGTTTCCCTTTCCTGAGGAGATGTGTTAAGGAAGAAGTTGCTCTTATTTATGTTCAAGAGATTTTTGCCTACATTTTCTTCTATGAGTTTTATGATTTCATGACTTACATTCAGGTTTTTGATCCATTTCTATTTTATTTTTGTATGTGGAGTTAGACAGTAATCCAGTTTCATTCTCTCACATGTAGCTGTCCAGTTTTTGCCAACATCAGTTGTTGAAGAGGCTCATTTCCCCATTGTATATCCATGACTCCTTTATCATATATTAATTGGCCATATATATGTGAGTTTCTATCTGGGCTCTCTATGATCAATGGGTTCTGTTGATCTATGGGTCTGTTCTTGTGCCAGTACCAAATTGTCTTGATTACTGTGGCTTTGTAGTAGAGCTTGAAGTTGGGGAGTATAATCCCCTCCCCTTTGTTCCTCTTTCTCAGATTTGCTTTGCCTATTTGGGTTGTTTTTGTGGTTCCATATGAATTTTAGAACTATTTGTTCCAGTTCGTTGAAGAATGCTTTTGGTATTTTGATAGGGATTGAATTGAATCTGTAGATTGCTTTAGGCAGGATGGCCATTTTGACAATATTAATTCTTCGTATCCATGAGCACGGGATATATTTCATTTATTGGTGTCTTCTTTAATTTCTGTCATGAGTGTCTTGTGTTTTTACAGGGTCTAGGTCTTTCACTTCCTTGGTTAGGTTTATTCCTAGTTATTTTATTCTTTTTGATGCAATTGTAAATGGAATATTTTCCTAATTCGTTTTCTGCTAGTTATTCATTGGTGTATAGGAGTGCAGCAGATTTCTGTGTATTAATTTTGTATCCTGCAACTTTTCTAAATTCAGTTATTAGTTCTAGTAGTTTTAGGATGGATTCTTTAGGTTTTTTTTTTTACATACAATATCATGTCATCTGCAAACAGTATGTTAAGGAAGAAGTATGTTTAACTTCTTCCTTACAGTCTGGATGCCTTTTATTTCTTTGTGTTGTCTGATTGCCATGGCCAGGACCTCCAGTACTATGTTGAATAAAAGTGGGGAGAGTGGGCATCCTTGTCTTGTTCCCAATCTTAGAGGAAAAGCTTTCAGCTTTTTACTATTAAGTATGATGTTGCTGTGGGTTTGTTGTATATGGCCTTTATTATGTTAAAGTACTTGCCCTCTGTACCCATTTTGTTGAGAGTTTTTATCATGAATGGATGTTGAATTTTGTCTGATGCTTTTTCAGCATCTATTGAGATGATCATATGATTTTTGTCCTTTCTGTTGATGTGTATGATGTTGATGGATTTTCAAATATTGTACCATTCTTGCATCCCTGGAATTAATCCCACTTGATCATGATGGATGATCTTTTTTTGATGTATTCTTGAATTCAATTTGCTAATATTTTGTTGAGCATTTTTACATCTGTATTTCATCAGGGATATTTGTCTGTAATTTTCTTTTTTTTATGGTGTCTTTGCCTGGTTTTGGTATTAGAGTGCCTCTGGCCTCATAGAATGAGTTTGGAAGTATTCCTTCCTCTTCTACTTTTTGGAAAACTGTTAGGATGGGTATTAGATCTTCTTTAAATGTTTGATAAAATTTAGCAGGGAAGCTATCTGGTCTAGGAATTTTGTTCTTAGGTAGTTTTTTGATTACCAATTTAATTTCATCACTTATAATTTCTATTCAGATTTTCTCTTCCTTCCTGGGTCAGTCTTGGAAGGTTGTATTTTTCTAGAAAGTTGTCCATTTCTTCTAGGTTATCTGATTCATTAGCATACAAATTTTCATCATATTCTCTAATAATAATTTGTATTTCTGTGGTGTTCATAGTGATTCTCCCTTATTTCTGATTCTGTTTATGTGTGTGCACTCTTTTTTTCTTGATAAGTCTGGCTAGGGTTTTTATCTATTTTGTTTATTTTCTCAAAAAAACCAGCTCCTGGTTTCATTGATTCTTTCTATTGTTTATTCTTCTCAATTTTATTTATTTCTGCTCTGATCTTTATTATGTCCCTCCTTCTACTGACTTTGGGCCTCATTTGTTTCTCTTTTCCTTGTTTCTAACTTTTCTTCTTTCTTGAAGTAAGCCTGTACTGTAATATACTTCCTTCTTAGAAATTCCTTTGCTGCATCCCACAGGTTTGGGGATGTTGAGTTGTTGTTTCATTTCTTTCCATATATTGCTTGATCTCTGTTTTTACTTGGTCACTGATCCATTGATTATTTAGGAGCATGTTCTTAAGCCTCCATGTGTTTGTTGGCTTTTTTGTTTTCTTTGTATGATTTATTTCTCATTTCATACCTTTGTGTTCTGAGAAGCTGTTTGGCACAATTCAATCTCTGAATTTACTGGGCTCTTTTTGTGGCCTAGTATGTGATCTATTCTGGAAAATGTTCCATGTGCACTTGAAAAGAATGTGTATCCTGCTACTTTTGGGTGGAGTGTTCTGTAGATGTCTGTTAGGTCCATCTGTTCTCTTGCATTGTTCAGTGCCTCTGTCTTCCTTACTTATTTTCTGTCTGGTTCATCTGTCTTTTGGAGTGAGTGGTGTGTTGGAGTCTCCCAAAATGAATACTTTGCATTCTATTTCCCCCTTTAATCCTGTTGCTATTTTTTTCACATATTTAGGTGCTCCTATACTGGGTGCAGAGATATTTATAATGGTTATAGCCTCTTGTTGGACACTGACCCCTTTATCATTATGTAATGTACTTCTTTGTCTCTTGTTACTACTTTCTTTGATTTGAAATCTATTTTGTGTGATGTAAGTACTGCAACTCCTACTTTTCTCCCCCTGTTATTTGCATGAAATATCTTTTTCCATCCCTTCACTTTTAGTCTGTTTATGTCTTTGAGTTTGAAGTGAGTCTCTTGTAGGCAGCATATAGTTGGGTCTTGTTTTTTATTCATTCTGTAACTGTGTCTTTGGTGCATTCAGTCCACTTACATTTAGGGTAATTATCAATAGATATGTACTTATTGCCATCCCAGGCTTTAGATTTGTGGTTACCAAAGGTTCAAGGGCAGCTTTCTTACTATCTTGACAGTCTGTTTTAACTCCTTATGCTATTTCAAGCACAATCTAAAGGTTCTTTTTTCCCCCCTTTTCTTCTTCCTCCTCCACTCTTTATATATTAGGTGTCATATTCTGTACTCTTTGTGTTTCCCTTGACTAATTTTGTGAGTAGTTGATTTAATTTTGCATTTGCTTAGTAATTAATTGGTCTGTTTCCTTTACTGTGATTTTATTTTCTCTGGTGGCAGCTATTTAGCTTTAGGAGCACTTCCATCTAGAGCAGTCTCTTTAAAATATACTGGAGAGAGGGTTTGTGGGAGGTAAATTCCCTCAACTTTGCTTATCTGGAAATTGTTTAATGCCTGCTTCAAATTTAAGTGATAATCTTGTGGGGTAGAGTATTCTTGGTTGGAGGCCCTTCTGTTTCATTGCATTAACTATACCATGCCACTCCATTGCGGCCTGTAAGGTTTCTGCTGAAAAGTCTGCTGATAGCTGCTTTCCTTTGTACATGATCTTTTTTCTTACAACATTATACTTCCATTTTCCTTCTCCTGGAATACTGGGTATTTTTTGTATATTTTATTCTTACATGTGCTATATACTTTATGATACATTGTTAATATTCTTCCTTTAATAGTTATCTTTTAAAATATTTTAAAACAAAGAAAAAGGTATTATATTTACTTACATGTTTATCGTTTCTAATCCTTTATTCCTTTGCATATTCGATTGCCATCTGGTGTCATTTTCCTTTCATGTGAAGGATTTTTAAAAAATATTTCATGTTGTGCTAGACTGTTAGTATAAGTGTCTGGAAAATTATCCTGTAAAAGGTCAGATAGTAAATATTTTAGTCTTTGTAGGCCATATGATCTCTGTCAAAACTACTCAGATATAACATCTACCAGGAAATCAGACTTCATAAATATTGGGTGGCTGTTTTATTTCAACTGTTACTTATAAAAATAGGTAGTGGGTCTTAGGTAAGGGGTTTCCTTTGCTGACTGTTAAGCTACTGAATAATCCTTTCAACTATTTTTTCTGAGAAAGTCTGTTTTACCTGTTGTAGAAAGATAGTGCTCTAGGTGTAAAATTCTAGTTTGACTGATTTTTTTTTCTTTTACTATCTTAAAAGATGTTGCTCCACTGGTTTCTGGCAAGAAATCTGTTCTTATCACTGGTTTTATGTAATTTGAGAACGATGTGTTTGTTTATTATTATTACTGACAGTATTTTATTTTGAGAATGTATTACAATTTCTCCTATTTCTATTATATGCTGTTTGGGTTGCTCCAGATACTTAGCTAATATCAACCATGCTGTTCTGAATTCTAGGACATGTGTTTAGGTCATGTGCAGTTAGTTGTTCATTTATAGTGGAATTGCTATAGAAGCTTATGATCACCTTTTGGAGATACTGACATACAGTTTTTTGAAGGGATTGTTCCATTTTACACTCCATCAACAGTGTGAGATCTCCAGTTGCTCCATATCCTCATCAGTATTTGATATCATCAACTCTCTTCATTTTGTTAATTCTGCTGGTGTGTGGTGTTACTTAGGATTTTAATTTTTGTTTCCTTGATGACTAATGAATCTCAGCACCTTTTTTTGTGTACCAGGTTATAAAACAGGAACATACCTTCCATTGTTTTTTAATGCATAGAAATACACACAAATGCTAAATATCCAATTTTGGTAGTTTCTGCTTGTAGTGATAAGATGGGGGAATTTCTTGGACAGGAAGGTTCATGAAGGGCCTCAACTGACAGTGTTGTTATTACTAAACCAGAAGTGGATACAGAACATCCAATATGTTTTATTTCTTTAAAAAAATTGTATTGTGGTAAAATATATATTTGCTGTTCAAACTATTTCTACTTATTCAGTTCAGTGACATTAAGTACATTCACATTGTTGTACAACCATCACCACCACTGAAAAAAATTTTGAGAGGTCAGTTTAGTTTTCTTAAACATTATCAGAAAAGGAAATTTTATAATGTACTTATAATACAAGTGTAAATTCACATCCAGTAAACATAAAAAATAGGCTGTGACTGGTTTAAACAAGCTTCAGAGGGGAGAATTTTTCTGTCAAAATGTTAGAAGTTTGTAATTTTAAAGAACTTTCTATCTGAAGGTCCATTAGTTTCAAACTTCAAAATAATGAGTCAGTTAATTCAACATAATTAAAATAAATGGTTCTTAGTTGCTTTTGCCATGATCATCTTATGGGACAGTACCAATGTTTTATGATTTTCAAAGCCATTGTTTAAAAGTTAAGTAACATTGCCTGTACTTCCATTTTCATCCTCAGATCATGACTGTACCCAATGACCCTTATACTTTTCTTTCTTGTGGTGAAGATGGAACTGTTAGGTGGTTTGATACACGCATCAAAACTAGCTGCACAAAAGAAGATTGCAAAGATGTAAGAATCAAATTTTTGTACAAATGATGCAAGAAAATTAAGGTTGTAATTAGAATTGAACAGTAAGTTATCTCTGGATTATGAGATGTGGTTGAATTTTTATTTTGCTAAATTCTTGAGTATATTTTATATTAAATGAAGTATTAATAGTGAAATTAGGGAACTTACATTTTAATTGTACATTTCGAATACATTTATGAAAACATGTAGTAGTTTAGTGTTTACTGTAGCATTATAAAAACCTGAAGCATTTATCAGTGCATCCTGTTTATTTATGGAGACAATTTTGGCTTATCAGTAACTGTGAAGAAGGGATGTAGTAGTTTAATGTCTTTTTATTTTTACCCTGCCCTTTGAACCAAGAATTATGTTATCTTTATTTTTTAAATAATATGATACCATTCTGCAACATGTTCATTTAGATTTAGCTAACTTTTCTAAAGATACAGGTTCACTGTCAGTTTTGTATTTTTTTTTTTTAAATACTATTTTAAACTTGAAAAGTGCCTGAGAAAAATCATTCAGTGTAATGACTCCAGACATGTAGCCCCACTGTTGCTTAGGGACAGTAGCCTTTTTCTCAGATTATTCTTAAGTAGTAAATTAAATAATGTATTGCTAAATATATTTTTATGGACAGTTTACCCTCCCTCCATAAAATTACTATAAATTCCGGTTAAGTGCTTGCTAATTAAACTAGTTACTGTTGTTGATATTCTTTGGGGGGATGAGGGAAGAAAAGATTATTTTATATGTTGAAACAAGAAAAAAATTGAAATAAACATTTTTTTTAAACATATGGTTTTTAAGTCCATCTTTGTGTTATATATATGTACACACACGTTTTCTTACTTGGTTTATAAGGAAAATGTACAATATTATTGTATTTGAAGTCAGTTTGGGAGTTGTATGGCAAACTGTAAATAAAGGAGTGTTTTCCTTACAGTGATAAACTGCTAAGAAGGAATATTGACTAAGTGTATTTTTTTGGGTTCATGTAGGCTGAATATATTAGAAACACTTACTGATAGAAATCTGAAAAATAAAAGATTGTTTCCCCCCCCATAGTCATGTTAACTGAATTAGGGTTTCTGAGAAAGATTGTTCTAATTGAAGGGAAAATGTTTTAAATATAATATCATCTTTTGTAAAGCTCTGTGTAACTGGTATTATTGTATCTTTTGTAGGATATTTTAATTAATTGCCGACGTGCCGCAACATCTGTAGCTATTTGCCCACCGATACCATATTACCTTGCTGTGGGTTGTTCTGATAGCTCAGTACGAATATATGATCGGCGAATGCTGGGCACAAGAGCTACAGGTGAGAAGATATATATTTGAGAAAATCTAAGATTCTGTCAGTTCAAAGAATAAATCTTTGACATTTGCAATTTAAAAATTTCTTTAGTTTGTCATAAAGTTCACTAAATAGAATGTATCTACATAATTTGCATTATCATAAAACATACCATTTTACCAAGTTTTTATGACCCAGTCAGGGTGATACTTCTGCAGATCATCACTTCATGAAGTTGTAACACTTGTAGCAGTTTTCTGGGCTTGTCATAACATGACTGCAAACTTGAGAAACAGTTTATTCTCACCTACTTCTAGGGGCTAGACATCTAAAATCAAGATGTTGCAGGGTTGTTTTCTGCTGGAGGCTACCAGGGAGAACCTATTTCACATGCTGAGCTTCTGGGGGTAACTGGCAATCCTTAGGGTCCCCAGGCTTTTAAATGTATCACCCCACCTTCTGCTTCTGTATTGATGTGCTATCTCCACTGTGTTCACCTGTGTCCACACTTCCCTCCTCTGGTAAAGACGCCGGTTGTGTTGGATTCAGAGCCTATCCTAGTCCTTTGTGACCTCATCTCGCTAATCAGCTCTGCAAAGACCCTATCTGCAAATAAGGTCACATGCTGCGGTTCTGCATGGACATGAATTTTTGGGGACACTATTCAGCCCAAAACACTTGGCTTCTCCTGATTTCTCTTTACCATTTTTTCAACCAAGAGGGTAATAGTAAACATGGTGAAGAGATAAGTCAGGGAAGAACAGTGACTTGGGTGTGTATTAATGCACAGCCTGTGTTCACGCCTGTGTAGCCTGGTTAAAGTGCTGTTAATGATGCTGAACTTGAACCAGCCTTAAACTCTTCATTTCCTTCTGATCCACTCTAGATATCAAACCCCTTCTGAGATACCCAGTTCAAAGCCGACTTCCATTAGCATTTTTTCAGGAAAGGGAGGCCAGGAGTATTTACATGTACACACATGTATCAGATATATATATACACATATATACATACAAATACGCATATTTTATGTTCTTAAAAGTTTGGCCAGTTACTAACAGTGTGAATCTCAGTGTCAATTTATGTCCTGTTAAAATGGACATAGGTTATTGAAATAGGGAGACCAGATGGGATCTTTTTTGGGGGGAAGGGTGTATTGTGATTGAGGGGTCTTGTATACTTGGATCTGCCCATTTAGGGGGAACAGTAGTTATATAATATGAAATTGTAGGCTTAACCATTGTTTCTCAATATATGGGACACAGCTGACATTTTGGATAGGGCAGGACTGCGTTATGCAGGATTGTACAGCTCTGTGGGATTCTTAGAATTTAGTATTCCTGTGTTCCCAGGGCACAAAGTTCCAGTAGCCATCCCTGTCAGTCTGTATTGTTGATGACTACCCAAGTTGATTAAAATTTGAGTAGTATCCCCTTTGCTATTATCTTATGAGAGGAAAATTTTATGATGCTAAATCTTTTGAAAACAAAGTAAAAGGTAAATCATTTGAAAAGGATATAGCACTATTTTATCTAGTGTGCTAATAAATATCAGCTTTCCTATTTATATTATGAGAAGTATATTATCCTAATCTGGGGGGAATTTTTGGAAGATTAGTGTGACTGTAATCACAAATCATGCCAATTGATTCATAGTTCTAGTAAACATTATGTAATCTGGAATTACAGTCATGAAATTTTTTGAAGATATATAGCCTTTATACTGTATTTCTATTTGTTTTATAAAATCTCACTTGTAAAAAGATTCTCTTCTAGAAATAAAATATGGTAGCTTGGGTTTACATTAATTCATGTACCTTATAATTCAGATTAAGAGTTTTTAAAGTGTTTTTCCTCAAAATGATTATGGATTTTATACAGCTTCCTGGTTTCTTACTTAGGGAATTATGCAGGCCGAGGAACTACTGGAATGGTTGCCCGATTTATCCCTTCCCATCTTAATAATAAGTCCTGCAGGGTGACGTCTCTGTGCTACAGTGAAGATGGGCAAGAGATTCTTGTTAGTTACTCTTCAGATTACATATATCTTTTTGACCCAAAAGATGATACAGCACGAGAACTGAAAACTCCTTCTGCAGAAGAGAGAAGAGAAGAGGTAAGTTTACTCAAAACTGTTCTTCATTCAATTCAGAAAACATTAATTCAGTGACCCCTGGGGCCTGAAGAGTTTCAAAAAATAGAGCTAATTTTCAAGGCATTTACATGTGAAATAAAAAAGGCTAATAAATAACTACAGCTAAGGTTCTAGAAAATAGTACTGTAAAATATTTTATACCCTTGGTAGTACACAACAGTAGGAAAACGTTTACTTTAACTTAAGCTTCTTTCCCCAACCTGCTTTTTAATTTTATTATGTCTTATATTTAATCACTCTACTCTTTTGCCTGTAAATGTCTTTTGAAATTAACCATTGCTTTTTATAATTATCAGTGACTTTTTGATATTGGCCCAACTCCTGTTAGCACATTTTAAAGGTTTTCAAGAAGAACAGCATTTTGTAATTCCTATGACATACAAAAACTAAACCCAATTCTTACAATTGCAGGTTTCAAAAGCTAAAAATTAGAAAAAAATGAGGATTACTTTATAAATACATTTTGAAATTTTTAAATGTAGCAATATATTTCAGTGAATTAGGAAATTGACAAAGAAGATGGTATGATAGCTAATGAAAACTGCTTATGACTTTATTGGTCTTAGGGAAAAACATGAAATGAGCTGTGTCATTTTGTGTTGCTATGTAATTTACTCTTGAGGTACTTGCTTCAGTAAAGTTATAGTCAAGCTCTGTGACTGTTACATAATGAAAGCATTGGACATGCAGAAACATTGTAAGTGGGCCAACTAGCTTTCATGCCCTAGAATACTTAGTCAAAAGATGTTTATATAATCAAAGTAAATGAGGCTGAGTCATGAACAGCTAGTTTTTTCCTGAACCTGTTTTTCTCAGTATTCCTTGTTGAAATAACTAAATTAAGAAAAAATAATTCTGGAAACAGGTTAAAATTATAAAAAGGAATCATGCTTATTGTAATAAACCAAAACAATACACAGGGGTATATAGAAGAAGAAATGAATAATCTATTACCCTATTTATTCCATCATCTTTTCTTTTATTGTTTTATGACAAGTCCTTGACAGTAGTGTTCAGACAAACTCAACTCACCAGATATTTATTGGGTGTGTGCTGTATACGGAGTCCTACACTAACTTTAGAAGGATACTGTGACAGAGCCATGGCCTCTTGCTCAGGAATTTACAATTTAGTGGAAGTAGAGATACAAAGAAATCTTTAAAACTTAACAAAATAGACATATGTAAGGATGATGCTTTACATATAAGTTGACCAAAGGAGAGAATAAATTGATGTTGATTGGGAACATAAGAAACACTTGAGTACTGTTTTAAACTATGAATAAAAGTTTAATATGTGATTTTTTTTCTTATGTTTCCATAGTATTTTTATATTAATTTTGGGGAGCCTTTTTTTTTTAAGGTATCATTGATATACAATCTTGAGAAGTTTCACAAGAGCAACATTGTGGTTACTACATTCACCCATGTTATCAACTCC